TTGACAAAACCTCGTTAGCATGCTTGGTGAAACCAGCATGGCTATACTACCCTATTGCTTAATGCACTGCTGTTGTTTCCTAATTCACTTTTTCATCATATCATACCAGAATCAATACCAAGAGAAAGCCTTCAGGACTCTATTACTGCATGGAACTGCATCAAAAGAGGGAATATGATTCTGCCCTCCCCATTCCCACAGGGATCTAACAAAAGACAAAAATAACTCATGCAATAATTAACTGCTACCTTGTGTTTGGACATTCACTCTATATTATATTACTTCTCAAATTTCTATGTGTTGGTATTTGTATATAAATATTCTATACAATGAACATGGTTTGCATTCCCTTAATATTATGGGTCTCATATTTAAGTGGATGACTTTAGAATAGGGCTGTGAAATTCCCAGCCTCTGGCCGGATGCATCACATGCTGGCCACACCCACACCCCATTTAGCAAAGGGGAAAAAAGTCCCGATAAGTCATGTGACACCGCCATGACGACATGAGTTTGACACTCCTGCTTTAGAGGGTTGAAAAGATCTGGGCAGAACATAAGGTATAATTGCCACCAAATTATGAGATTCATGTAAAGTATTTAACAACATCATAATGGCATCTTGTTAAATCACAAAAGGCATGTGTGTGATCATGTAAAGAAACATTTGTGAACCTATATTTGTAACATCATAAGTCATTCCCCATTGCCCATATGTAAACATTTATTTATTAGCTGTAGAGTAACAAATTCAAAACACTGATATTTTAGCCACTATACTTCACTTTATATCACATTTCACTCTGGCTCTTTTCATTGAGCCTTTTTTCAAGATCTCTGGATCACCAGATCAGATACAATATGCTCCACCAGTTGATGTGTAATTGGAATTGTAGTCATATTCTGATGCATCTTCTAACATGGAAGAAAATCTTTTTAAATTGAGTTCCTACTATTAAAATATACAAATGCTGATTTTCCCTGAGATGCAGCCTAAGCGCACTTGTGGTATATACCAATTAAGTGCAGCAGTAGCACTCTGATTTAAATTCAGCCACTGCTCTGCTTCTGAATAATATTCCAAGCTCTGACTAAAAAACAGACACGTCTCTAGAACTTTACTTCATCACATGATTAAATGATTGTGGATGTCCAATTTCTTTCCAAATGACAAAACATCACCTCATAGTTTCACAATATAACTGCTATTTTAGAATGATTGATACCTGGAATTTTTTAATTTGTATTTTAATTTGTATTTTAGACTATGCTGCTGGATAGGTATGTCATCTGTGTGACACAATAATGTCTTCTGATTATTATTATTATTATTATTATTATTATTATTATCCGTTTTATAGTTTTGTATGTTAATAATTCTAAATCATGTGTACAATTGTATCAAAATCCTGTTCAACAATTAATATAAAGCCAGAATTGGCAACTCCTTCAAATAACTATCAACAAACTGAGATAAAAATTTCTAACAAATCAAACTTCCATGCAGACCAAGTGATATGGAGACCAGAGGTGGTATTCAGCAGGTTCTGATCAGTTCTGGAGAACCGATAGTGGAAATTTTGAGTAGTTTGGAGAACTGGCAAATACCACCTCTGACTGGAGATTTTATAGTATCCTTCCCCTGCCATGCCCACCAAGCCACACCCACAGAACCGGTAGTGAAAAAACTTGAATCCCACCACTGATGGAGACCACATCATCAGCATTAGCTCTATCAGCAATTGGAAAGGGGGGGCGTGTAGAAGCAAAGGTGGCCACGTGTCAGTTGATCACAACTTCTGAGACACTCTTTGGCCATGTAGAATCTAGTCTGCTTTTCTTAAGAGCAAGGAAAGGCACTGAAACACGATTCACCTGCTAGACCAAACCTGTCCATTCATGAAAAATGAACTGGGGGGAGAAGTTAAGCAGAGAGATATATTGTTCCCTGCCCAACCCCCAACCCCATTTAATATGGTAGAACTAGCATTAAATAAGTCACAAGCAAAAATTCCAGAAAGGGCATAAATATATTTGGAGATGAATGGCAAGGGCTTGGCAGCTTACAACAGTAATAAAATGTAACAGAAATAAACCACAGTAAATTCTACCACAATCCATGACAACATAATGAAATAGAAAATAGGTAAATTAATATAAATTATGGTGGAAATCAATCAATTCCCAAATGCCCTACAGAAGAGTTCATTAACTGCCTTCCAGCCATGGGTATCAATCTAAGTTTTAGGTGGAGACTGTTCCATAGAACGAGTTCAATGAGAGAAAATCTTTATTTCCTGGCTTCAACTAATAGCTTTTTCTGGGAGGATCACTCTGACAGATTGGCTCATGGATTAGGTCGTCCTGTAAATAAATCATTACTTTAATTATATGTACTACTGTGTGAATCAACAACTTTGACTTAATTCTGGCTTTGATAGTTAAAAAACATTCTGACTTATCTCATAGGTTTTTGCACAGAACCTCTTAATAGACAGAAAGGAGGGAGAATAAAGGGGTCTGTAGGTTCAGAAGATCTTCAACTTTATGAAGTAATTGTTTGCAGTCAGTTTAACAATCATTACAATTTGTTCTTTCCTGGGCAAACATTAGTTTATGGTTGAACCAAGCATTAAGATGTGGAGTTTTACATAAGATATAGGAAATAGTTTATAATATATATTATCTAATTTGTAAGGAAGTCTCATTTTATGCCCATCAGAGAAAGTAATTTCTATTAAATTGACTCCCCAAACTTTCTTCTTTTCTTGGCCTACAGTGTCCTTTCTGGATAGCCCAGGAATAAGCTTAGAAATAAAGGAGATGAAGGATTAGCTAAACACATATGGATTTTTTAAAATTGTTTTAAAAACTTACGAACATTTCATTGTAGTCTCAGACCAAAATGCAAATTAAAGCAGTTGTAAAAAAATAGTTTAATAGAAATATGTAATCAAAGTGAGTATTTTGATACTTTTTTAAACTAATAATTACATGACTGATTCTGATCTTGTAAAGATTACAACAATGCCACAATTTTGCAGTTTACTAAGTAGCTTTGAAATTCAAAAGCCATATGGTAGCTCGGATTTTTTTTCCCCACAAGGAGTCTGAATAAAATATACAAGGTAAGGAACCTGTATATTTTTTTTAAATTGCTCACTTGATTGTATTCAAGTTCTAAAAAAAATCCATTAATACTTAAGGTGGGTGAGGATAAATGGATAAAATTTTGAAATTTGGATTAGGGTATTTCATATTTCTATATATCTTCTATACCTACAAAGATCAGAATCGTGTACGCCATGGCATTCTTTGGCTTACACAATTATATGACATTCTATGGAAGTGAAAGCTGGACTTTAATAAGCAGGCTAGGAAGAGTATTTTTATGCTTTTGAGCTTTGGTGTTGAAGACTTCTCTGTCAATGGTAACTGTTGTTTGCCTAAAAAGTGAGGAATGTGATTAAAAGACCATGATATGAATGTTTCTCGACCTCTGAATGTAATGTATAACTTCCACACCGCACAGGTATGCAGCAAACCAGGTAGAACATACAAAATTAGAAGAATGACAAGTGTTTTATCAGCTACAATCAGCTGTTGCCAGAGCACTTCTTTTCTTCTTTTTCCAAAGGGTTTTGAAATCCCTTTTTCCTTAATTATGAACATCATTGTTGGTAATTGTAGATTTTATTTTGCGACAAATAAAAGTGTCATACATTGCTTTTTTTTTTTTAAGGAATTGCATAGTCCTGGACAAACCATTTCTTAAAGTTACACTAAAGCAGTTTGGTGTTCAAATGCCTGAAGTATCAGAATAAATATTTTCATATAAATTAAATAACTTTCTAAATTGTAGTTCTAGAGCAGTGAGTTATTATAACAGAAGAGGTTATTACCTTGGAGGTCTTTGAGTCCAAACCGCTGCTCGGGCAGGAAGGCCTATACCATTTCAGACAAGCCTCTTCTTTAAAACCTCCAGTGTTGAACACCCACAATTTCTGGAGGCAAGTCATTCCACTGATTAATTATTTTAACTGTCAGGACTTTTCTCCTTAGTTCTAGGTTGATTTTCTCCTTGATTAGTTTCCATCCATTATATTGCTTGTTTGAGTAGCTTTTTATATA